CCCGCTCTCCCTCTGTACCCCTCAGGCTGAGCCTGCTATGGCTACCTTCTGCACCTCCCCCAGTACAGACTTCCTGTCAGGCCCCAGCCTCTACAGGGTTCCCAGCCTTCATGGTCAGCTGTACTGAGACCCCTCCCATCCAAGGAGGCATCCCTAAGGTCCTGCTGGCTTCCTTCTCTGGCTGAGGCCACCCCTCTGAGCCTCTTCCCAGGATAGGAGGGAAAGGGCTGCTGGGAGGCAGGGAGCTGCCTGGTGCAGGGAAGCAGGTGGCTGGAAGGGCAGGTGGGTTGGGGAGGCTGGGATCAGTGTAGTGGAAGCAGAGGAAGTTTGGTCTGGCTTGTGGCCCAGCATATCCCCGGGCTCTGGTGCTCTCCAGCTCCTCTCCCTTGGGAAGGTGAGGGATTGGGCCTCTTGTGGCCCTCTTCACAGGACTTGTTGCTTCCCTCCCCCAGCTGAGCTAAGTTGGCCCCTAGGATGCCTCCCTCAGGCCTCTACCTGAACTCTGATCAAAGGGGTTCCAGTTCCACCCCCTGCAGGAAGCTCCCACTTAACCCCTGCATCCTTTCCTCCCAGCCAAATCAGGAAGTAATAAAACCAAAAGCTCACCAGCAGTTTTGAGGCCTCAAGCCCTCCCAAAGTGGGGCCTGCTCTGGATCCCTCTTCTTTCCCTGTTCCTTGCTGATATTGTCTCTGCCTACAGCACACCCCACTTAGATGACTTTACCAATGATGACATCGACTGTTACATGATTGCCATGGAAACCACCGTGGGCAGCGAGGGCTCCCGGGCGCAGCCTTCCACTTCCCTCCCACACATCTCCCAGCCCTCCCATGACCTTGCACCCTCCTCAGAGGAAGAGGAGGAAGCTGAGCCCAGTACAGTGCCTGGGACTCCCCCACCCAAGAAGGTAGGACCAGAAGGTTGGGGTAGGAACTGTGAGGTGAGGAAGTCGCTCCCAGAACTAACAGGGCTTTCTCTATTCTCTTTCCAGTTTCGTTCACTCTTCTTCGGTTCCATTCTGGCCCCTGTGCACTCCCCACAGGGTCCCAGCCCTGTGCTGGCTGAAGACAGCGATGGTGAAGGCTGAACTTGAGAAACTGAAGCCTATATCCAATGGCCCATGGACCAGAAGCAGGCCCAGCCAGTGGCAGGGCTGGTCCCCAGTCCCTGGGCATAGAAAAGGTGCTATGCTTAGGGTAGCTATCAGAGCTGCCTAGGCCACCGTGTCTGGTCTGTGTTCTATATTATTCAACTTGTCAATCATGTCTCTTTCTGGTGCCCAGCTGCCACCAGATAGGTTCCTCACCTCTTCCTTACTGTAGAGCCACAGGCCATACCTTCCTCAGGCTTGCCTGCCTCTTTAAAAAGTACTGATTACCCTCTGCCAATCATGAACTTCCTATCAAACCTCTGGGACTTTCTGTGGTTGGCAGGAACTATTTCTCTTGCTTTCCCAATACTTGGGCCTTGGCTTGGCATCCTAATAGCCTCTGGACCTGAGCATGCCAGTGGGGTTGCCCTGGCTGGGCCCATGTCCAGCCAGTCAGTCTGCCTCCCCAGGTGGCTTCGTACCAAAGGGCTGCTGGCCCACTGTCTGGGATGAGTGAGACAGAGGCCATGGTGAGAATCCAGCTTTGACCTTTATTCAAGAGACCAGATGGGTTGCCCCAGGATCCAGCTGCCAGCCATGCAAGGCTGGAGACCCACAATCTGGTCTGCCATTGCCCTGAGCTGCAGCCTTGGCCCCAGGATTCCACTGCAGCCACCACAGGAGCTGGTGGGAGGGAGCCCTGGGGGACTAGACGCTGCTATTGATTCATTAAAAAAAGAAAGGAAAAGACACTTAACGCTGTGTGTTCCCCGTGATGGGTGGGCCTGAGGGGACTATGACCCATGGCAGCATGATTTCTGTACAAATAATCCATCGTCTGGGGCAGAAGGGCAACACATGGAGGCTATTTCTTGGCTTTGGCAGAATTGCGGGGTGGGGTGATGGGACGGCCTCCAGGGTTCAGGCCACTGAACTGCCCATACTTCCCCTTGTTCTTGTCAGCGGGCTTGAGGATCTGAAAGAGAAAAAGCGGGTCAGGTCCCTGGCACTAAGTCAGGTAGACTGACAGCCTCTTCCCCACACCCACCTGGAAGGAGCACATAAGAGTCTCATCCACACTCATCATGGCACCGGCATTGTCAAACTCGCCACAGTAGTTGGGAGCAGAGAAGAGGGTCACCAACTGCCTCTTGGCAAAGAACTCATAGCCATCTTCTACAACCTGGGCAAGGATAGGAAATGTTTGGTCTACAAGTTAGGCCGCTGGCCATCCCCAGCCTGCCCCAGGACCCCCTGCCCACCTGATGCGCCCGGCAGATGAGGTCCAAATCATGCTTGTGCAGGAACTTGGCCACCACCTCAGCCCCAAAGGTAAAGGAGACACCACGGTCATTCTCGCCCCAGCCTTGAACATCCTTGTCAGGGTCAGACCACAGCAGATCACACAGTAGGCCCTGGTCAGGCACGTCTGTGGGCCGCATGATACGCCTGATCTGCTCCATGGACTGCAAGTCTGGAGACAGGCCTGGAGGGAGGAGGTACCAAAAAGCAAGGGCTCTCCCATGCCCAGAAGCCCTTGGGTATCAGCTCCTCCCTCCCCACCACCAATGGGCTCCTCTTTTGGGCTCCTGAAGTCCAGGCAGGTAGAATTCATTATCCGTCAGCTTTTAAAAGAGCAAAGAGCAGACCTCCATGGGGGAAAGGAGATGAGTGAGTTGCCTACAGGATGCCAAATGCCACAACAGGAAAGAGTGCAGCCAAACTGGGGGGTGGTGAGTGACTTCCTACAATAAGTGACATCCAAGATGAGATTCAAGGAGAGCTATTCCAGGAAACTGAGAAGAGCTGCCAACAACTTTCCAAGGCCCCTAAGGATGTGGCCCAAGAACCCCAAGCATAGGCCCCACTACCACTCTTACCTCCATGGCAGCAGAAGATCTTCTCATCTACAATGGCTGCAATGGGCAAGCAGTTGAAGCAGTCGGTGAACGTTTTCCACAGTTTGATGTTGTAGCGTCTCTTGCCTGCACAAGAGAAGGTAGATGGCTCACAGAGAAGACCACCCACCCCACAGAACCCTCAGGCTAGCTTTCTGCACACTCCAGGGTATTGTGTGGGTTACTCTGGCAGAGCTGGGAGAAAGAATTGGCAAACAAGGAAGGCTTGAGCCCCTCTCCCTGCACTATCCTAATCCTGCCTTCCAGAATTCTAACACAGGAACCTGTACTCCAGTCTGGCCCAATGTCAATGTTGGCACCCACTCCCACGAACCAGACCAAACTAAAAGCAGGTCTGGTTTATTCATACAGGCACCCTACAGATAGATACCTTAGATGCTTAAAGGGATTTAATAGAGGTGAGTGTCATCAGAAAAGACTGTGGGGGGAGCTTTAGCAAATGGGCAGTCCCCCATGAATCTCCATTCACCAGGTCCTCCCTAAGTGTCAGTGATGACAGCATGTCATGGTACATGAGGGGTCTCTGGGCACCAGACCAATGTAGGGGTCCTATGAAGAGCAGGGAATGTAGTTCTGGGCAGCTCACATTCATCATAGAAGCCGTAGATGCGGTTGATACTGGCACACTCGTGATTCCCACGGAGCAGAAAGAAATTCTCAGGGTATTTGATCTTATAGGCCAGCAGCAGGCAGATGGTCTCCAAAGACTGCTTGCCACGGTCCACATAGTCCCCCAAGAAAAGGTAGTTGCTCTCTGGAGGGAAGCCACCATACTCAAACAGCCGTAGAAGGTCATAGTACTGGCCATGGATGTCACCTAGGAACCAGAGAAGGCTAGATAGGAGCAAAATCTAAACTTGAACCCAGGGCCAGCAATAGGCTATAAGGTGAGAAGAAAACCAGGCAGGGGGGCGGGAGTGGGGGCTATTTCCAGGAAGCTAGGGGGTTTTGAGCAAGGGCTCACCGCAGATCTTGAGAGGCGCCTCAAGCTCCAGAAGAATAGGCTGGCTCAGGAAAATCTCCCGGGATTTGAGGCACAGACCACGGATCTCGTTCTCTGTTAGTTGCACATTCTTTCCAGGCCGTGAGCCCTGCACTGGGTACGGAATGGGGTCTTAGGACCCTAACCTCGCAGACAGGATCGGGGTAGGCGTCATACCCTCCCATCATGGGCAACTGTTGCCAGGGAGCCGCCCCGAAACCTCTGCCTCAGGCCTCCGAAGGCTGATCCGACCCTCTCAGCCACCCAGGAGGCCTGAGAGAGACGCCTGTTTTCAGTACCCTGTCAACCGAAGCCTCCCCGTTCCGGGCCCTTTTCCCAGCTAGCTTCGCCGGCCTCTCACCCAGAGTCCGGGCCACGCGTGCGGCCCCGGCCCCGGAGCCCACTCCAAAGCCGCAGCGCGCCGACGGGGAGGTGGCCGTGTCCACGGGACCTCACGGCCTGTCCCCGCCCAAGCGACGCTGGCCCCCG